TCTCTCTCTCTCTCTTTCTTTCTTTTTTCTTTCTTTCTTCCTTTTTGGAGCCAGCCATTGAAAGACTAGGACATTCAAAAGCAATCATGTAAACAGGAGAATATAAAAAGTTGCCATGTACACCCAGGGAGAGGCAGAGGCTCAAAAAACACCTGAGAAGATCTTAAATTTACACCACAGAGTTATCCCCAGCACATTAAAATAAAAAAAGTTTTTAAATCCCAAAGCCCTGGGGAAGGGGGGAAATATTATTTCCAGAGTTACCACATTATTAGATTGACATATCCAATTTTCAACAAGAGATATCACAAGGCATACAAAGAAACAAGTAAACATGGCCTATTTAAATGGAAAAGAAAAAGAATAAACCAAGAGAAACCTCCCCTGAAAAATGCCAGGAGGCAAATATGTCAGACACAGCCTGTAAAACAACAACCTCATTGAAGATACTCAAAGAACCAAAGAGAGATGTGGAGGAAATACAAAAAAAAATAGGTATTAACTAAATGGAAATATCAATCAAGAAACAGAAAACCTAAAAGGAAATCAAAAAGAAATTCTGGAGCTGAAAAGTGTAATAACTGAAATGTAAATATCTGCTAGAGACTCAATGTAGATTTGAAAGGGCAGAAGAAAGAGTCAGCCAACTTCACAACAGGGCAATTGAAATTACTGAGCCTGATGAACAGAAGAAAAGATTGAGGAAAAGTGAACAGAGCCCAAGGGACCTGTGGGACATTATCACATGGACCAATATATGAATCCAATGTAGGAGTCCAAGAAGGATAAGAGAAAGGGGCAGAGAGATGATTTAAAGAAATAATGAATAAAAACTTCCCAAATTTGGTAAAAGACATGAATATAAACGTCCAAGATGCTCAATGAACTCTAAGATGAAAGCAAAGAAACCCACATTGAAACACGTTACAATCAAACTTTTGAAAGCTAAAGTCAGAATCCTGAAAGTAGCAAGAGAGAAGCCATTCAATACATACAAATAATCCTCAGTAGAATTATCTGCAGATTTCTCTCATTAGATAGTTTGGAAGTCAGAAGACAGTGGGCTGATATAATCAAAGTGCTCAAAGAAAAGAAAAAAAAAATCCCCTGTCAACCAAGAATCTCATCTCCAGAAAAACTATCCTTATAAAGTATGGGAGAAATTAAGACATTTCCAATAAAGAAAAGCTGAGGAAATTCAGTGCCGTTAGATCTGCCCTGCACGAAATGCTGAAGGGAGTCCTGTAGGTTTAAATGGAAGAACAGTGGACAGTGACTGAAGGCTGTATGAAGAAATAAATGTCTCATTAAAGGCAAACACACAGGCAAATGTGAAACCTAATATTATTGTAACAATGACATGTAACTCCCATTTTTGTTTTCTACATTATTTAAGAAACTAATACACTTAAAAAAAAAAAGAATAATTACTAGCCTACAAACTACTGTTGTGGTTTGAATGTGTCCCCCAGAGTCCATGTGTTGGAACCGTAAGCCCCAATGCAAAGTGGTGAGAGGTGGGATCTTTAAGAAGCAATTAGGTCACGGGACCTCTGCCCTCATGAATGATTAATGGATTAATGGCATTACCACAAATAGGGTGCTATCCTCCAAACCTCAAGAGAATATTTGATCCCAATGTCAGAGGTGGGGATCTAACGGGAGGCATTGGGCTGTGGGAGTGAAAACCTCGTGAATGGCTTGATGCTGTTCTTGAAGCAATGAATGAGCTATTGCTCTCTTGGTTCCTGCGAAAATTCCCCCAGGAGCTGGTTGTTAGAAAGACACTGGCGTCTCTCCCCTCTGTTTCTCACGTTCTCTCTCACCCTGTGATTTCTTCACAGGCCGGCTCCTCTTTCCCGTCCGCCGTGGGTGGAGGCAGTTTGAAGCCCTCACCAGATGCAGATGTTGGCACCATGCTTCTTGTACAGCCCCCAGAACCATCAGCCAGATAAACCTCTTTTCTTTATAAATTACCCCCAGTTATTCTTGATAGCAACACAAATGAACTAAGGGTTGGTCATCCTGGGAGCAGGTTCCTGATCGAAGGATGAGTTTGTCCCCCTTCCCTCCCTCTCCCCTTCTCTATGCCCTTCAGTCATGTGATGATGCATCAGGAAGGCTCTTGCAGAAGCTGAACCCTTGATCAATGGACTTCCCATCCTCCAGAACCATGAGCCAGATAAATTTCTGTTCATTGTAAACGACCCATTCTGTGGTATTGTTATAGTGGCTCTGAAACTTCGATGACTTGTGGCCTCTTTTCCCATTGTCAAATGAGTCACTCCAGTCTGCTCTGTCTCCACCTCACTCACTGTCTTTGCCTCCTCTGACACTCCTGCCTCCCTCTTGTAAAGCCCTGTGATTACATTGAAGACCCACCTGGGTAACTCCCCCCCTCTCCCCTTCTCCAGGTCCCATCTGCGCAGTCCCCTCTGCTGTGTGGGCTAACATAGCCGCAGGTTCCTGGGGTGGGAGTGTGAACATCCTCAGGGCTGTTTACCTGTGGGACACAGAACAAAGTTCTGACCCACTGTTTAGCTTGCCTGGAGAGACCAGCCTTAGTAACAAAAAAGACAACAAACAAACCTTCCTGGGGCCGGGCTGTCAATGACTGCTTAAGGTGTTGCCAGCTTCCTTATCACGGTGTGCTATTCCCAGCCTGACTCCTGCTTCCTTTCCAGCTCACCCAGAGAGGATAAACACAGCGTGGACAGGGTGGCTAGGGAGCCTCACGTGCCCTGTCTGGGAAGCGGGATCGTGATCAGTCCCTGTCCTGACATGGCTGTGGGGATTCGGGATGATGAGTGTGGATGGTCTGCCCAGAGCACAGCTGCCCTTCCTGAGCCTTGGTCCCACGTGGGTGGCTGGGGCACAGAATAACAAAATCTGGGACTTGGAGGGACCCACGTCCTGGACTTAGGCCAACATCTGGGTGGGTTACTGCCACATCTCATGGGGTTCTCCAGGGTTGTTCCTGGGAATCCCGGCCACTGTGCCTGGACTTAGGCCAACATCTGGGTGGGTTACTGCCATATCTCATGG